CTCTGCTTGCTCTCTTTTATTTTGAGCCCTTGGTAAGTTAATAAAGGGATTGACTAAGTCAGCAGGTGTGTGTTTTATGCAATTGCTTTAGGGGTCGAGAGCAAGATTATTTGTTGATAGCTTTGAATTAAACATCAGATCCAGATAGCCAAATATTGTCACACTCAGCGATAAATGAATAGCATATTTGCCAAAAAGCAATGCAACAAGAACAAAGAATATAAAAATGGGGAACAGCTTCAGTTAGTCCATGCACAGGTCTCAAAAATGTTTTTGCTCACTTGCGCCTTCACAAAGAGAAGCTACACCATTTGTATATCAAACTAATCCCACCCATAAGGGCAGTCCAAATCTGAAATGCTTGCAAGCTCTTTCTACACATGAGATACAGCAACCCTGGACAATTGTTTCAGTCTTGATTGGCCCTCATCAGAGAGGTGTAGGTGATACCCTTCTGGGCACAGTGAACAGTGGTTTACCCTTTTAACTTAGGGAGAGCCTAAGTTAAAACATCAGAGAATATGAGAACTCTGAGAATGGCAAGAAGCTCAGAGACCCCGTGCTCACTATGCCTAGGGTGGCATCAGCTACACTTTACTGACAAGGTACAATAGAGGCAGAGACAATCATATAGGGTTGTTGTGTCTTTTTTGCTGAATTTTATATCTGGATTGCCATTATGGGTAGGATTAGTCTGATATAAAAAATGGAAAAGTAATTTTTTTCTGAATTCTCCTGTTCTCTGTTTTTCTTGCTAAAAGCAAACACTGTTTCCATTTCCCCTCAGTGTCCTCAACTCACCATTCAAAAAATATTTTAACCTAACCTACTAATGCCTGCTCTGCACCCATTAAAAGGTATTGTAACGGCACCCCCAGGAATAAAAGGGTTAAACCGCCATTTAGTAGATCTTCCCCTTCCAGAGACATAGGCACAGCTACTGCAGAACCCCAAACTCCCGAACAGGATACCAAGTAGCACTCCAAACTCCCGAACTGGAACCTCACGAATAGCTGTTAGCAGCTGAACAGGAAAAGCACCCAAGCGGCTTACACTCCTGGCAATCAGTCTCTAACAGCATACAGCAAATCCCCCCAAGAACGAGACAAAGCTCCGTGTTGTGGGGTCAAGCAGTGAACAGACAGAGCTGTGGGTTTATTGTTCTTATATACACATTTGTACCACCCACAGGGTTTTGGAAAACAACCAATAAACACATACAATACACTCAGACACTCCCACACAAAATCCTCCCCTGTGCCTGTGATACAATTACCTTACACAATGGGTAATGTAATTATCACCGGCAGACAAATACAGTTTTCAACATTATTCATAACTTTAAAAGTATGCATCACATTCACATAAACTTACATTTTCAGAATCAGCATACTCCAAATACAACCATATGTCAAAATCATCCAAATTGGTCCAGTAGTTCAAAAGATAGATCATAGTCCTTTGTGACCAAAGGAAGCAAGGCTTTTCTGCCCAAAACCAGTTCCACAGAGTCTTCTATCCTGGAGATAATTGGGAAGAAATCCAATTATCTCCAAAGACAGAGACAAAACTCCATTGAACACATGGCAGTAAAAAGACAGTAAAATACAATAAAATACCCAAAGTTACATTTATGACATAAAATACAGACATGCAACATATGCCCAGATAGCTTAGGTCTGAGCGCACATTAATACTGAATGGCGCTCAGACCACACACACATACAGTTCAATTGCCATGGAGCCAAAGTCTTTTATTACACGAATAGGCTCCATGGCATAGCTATCTGCGTTATATGAGTCCATTCAGTAAATCCGAGAATCTACCGAACGCTAGGGCAGAAAACATGAATAGACCTTTCTGCATAGGAAAATAAAGTATTTAAATGCCGGTCCATAGTCAAAAGGCAGCAGGCAGGCAACCAGGCTCCTCCAATGCACAGTGGCGAGATTGGTCTCGTCACAGGTATTTCATCTTCTTGCATGTTTTCTACTAGGATGAAGAAGACCCAAGTCTTCTCTCAGCAATTATAAATGAAAAAGAGGCTTGTGGGTAAGTATAGCAATTGACCTAATTTCTAACACAACTAACCAATTACCACCAAAGGAGGAGGGAATGAGAGGTGTTAGAAAAGTATGGATAGCAGGCCCACCCTAGCAGTATTCCCAATATTTATTTATTCTATAGTAATCAATACACCCATCAGGTCCTACTTTTAATCTATATTTGAAAGGTTTACATTTTTAGTACATAAGTTTTACATTAACAAGTCATAATTCAATTAACGGGTATGGGAAAAGCTGAGTAAACATTAGAATAAAACACCCAAATAGCGAAACTTTGTGGTCCCAAAAAGAAAAATATATAAAGATGATCACAAACGGTACGACAAAGGAATCCAGCATGCAGAAAGGATGATATTCTTATGTTTGTCCATCCTAGTGGATCAAAAGGGTCAAAGGATATTCCGAAAGCAAAGAGGACAGGAACTGATGGATGGGGAGAGAGAATAAAATGGAGAAGTAGGGAAAGCAGTGGGGCGGGGAGAAACCTTTTAGTTTCAGAGAGACAACTTATAAATAATTATTTAAATATAGTAATTTGAAATCTAATACCAGCAGCTAAATGTACACCTTCAACATTTTGAAAGCTTTTTTTTTTTTTATAAACACTAATCTGATTCTTGGGATGCATGATTTGTAATTTATACTAGGCATAAGAGATACAATCAAGACAAATAAATTATGCTAAATGGTGTTAGTATCTATCTAAAGTCTTTTGGAGGATTGCTCACAAGGTTACACTATAACTGACTGCTTACAGAGATAGCCAGGTGAGCAACAAATTATCTATCTATCTATGTATCTATCTCTCCATCTATTTCTCGATTGTGCTAAATAGCTTATCAGGAAGATGTTAAAATATCAGAACACATGTGTTCTCCAGTATTGCTCATAATCATTTGGTTTTAAAGCAAAGCAGTATGAATCTGTTATCATCAGGAAAATGGTGATCAGCAGAAGTTGGCTGATAATGCAGATTTGCCTGTTAATTGTCCGTGTTTTACCATGTACTATATTATTATTATTATTTTATTATTAATATAGTGCCAACAAATTCCGTAGCGCTGTACAATGGGTGGACTAACAGACACATAACTGAGATCAGACCACTGACATACAGGAACAGAGGGGGTTGAGGACCCTGCTTGATGAGCTTACATGCTAGAGGGAGTGGGGTATAGTGACACAAAGGGTTAAAGTAGGGGAATTAAATAGTTTGTTACAGAAGGGTTTATTGAGTGCTTGGTAGGTCATTTTTGACAGGTATATAAACTATTTGACTACAGTTCCATCACCAAATGCATTAATAATAAATCACTGATCTGTGCAAAAACAAGACATTTATTTTAATATTAAATGATACACACTCTACTACATTTACCAAACTAGAAAGGTACTTGTTATTCAAATTCTAAAGTTGTGCCTAATGCAACTTGAAAGACAATCTGTTCCTGATCCCCTTCCATACTATTCACATATTACCTGTATGACATACTGGTTATAATTATCTTTTCATATTGCCATTTAAGTTAAGAAAAATACCAACATTGAAAGCTACATTTTCACAGTACTTGTTATTAAAATGCAAATTGCGTAAGATGCAGTGTAGGTTGGAATAACATCATCTACATTACTTCTGCTCTACTGTACTCAGGATGATATAATTAGACACTGAAAATAGCAGAAACCATTTGTAAAAGTCAGAAAGTTTAAGAAAAATATAAAGGGACACAACAGGGTGGAGTTTATCCCTCAATGTGTAATACCTTAATATATACAGTCAGGTCCATAAATATTGGGACATTGACACAATTCTAATCTTTTTGGCTCTATACACCAACACAATGGGTTTGAAATTAAACAAACAAGATGTGCTTTAACTGCAGACTTTCAGCTTTAATTTGAGGGTATTTACATCCAAATCAGATGAACGGTGTAGGAATTACAACAGTTTGTTTATGTGCCTCCCACTTTTAAGGGACCAAAAGTAATGGGACAGATTAACAGTCATAAATCAAACTTTCACTTTTTAATACATGGTTGCAAATCCTTTGCAGTCAATTACAGCCTGAATTCTGAAATGCATAGACTTTACCAGGCGCTGGGTTTCATCCCTGGTGATGCTCTGCCAGGCCTCTACTGCAACTGTCTTCAGTTCCTGCTTGTTCTTGGTGCATTTCCCCTTCAGTTTTGTCTTCATCAAGTGAAATGCATGCTCAATCTGATTCAGGTCAGGTGATTGACTTGGCCATTGCATAACATTCCACTTCTTTCCCTTAAAAAACTCTTTAGTTGCTTTTGCAGTATGCTTCTGGTCATTGTCCATCTGCACTGTGAAGTGCCGTCCAATGAGCTCTGAAGCATTTGGCTGAATATGAGCAGATAATATTGCCCAAAACACTTCAGAATTCATCCTGCTGCTTTTGTCAGCAGTCACATCATCAATAAATACAAGAAAACCAGTTCCATTGGCAGCCATACATGCCCACACCATGACACTACCACCACCTTGCTTCACTGATGAGGTGGTATGCTTTGGATCATGAGCAGTTCCTTTCCTTCTCCATACTCTTCTCTTCCCATCACTCTGGTACAAGTTGATCTTGGTCTCATCTGTCTATAGGATGTTGTTCCAGAACTGTGAAGGCTTTTTTAGATGTTGTTTGGCAAACTCTAATCTGGCCTTCCTGTTTTTGAGGCTCACCAATGGTTTACATCTTGTGGTGAACCTTCTGTATTCACTCTGGTGAAGTCTTCTCTTTATTGTTGACTTTGACACACATACACCTACCTCCTGGAGAGTGTTCTTGATCTGGCCAACTGTTGTGCAAGGTGTTTTCTTCACCAGGGAAAGAATTCTTTGGTCATCCACCACAGTTGTTTTCTTGGTCTTCCGGGTCTTTTGGTGTTGCTGAGCTCACCGGTGCGTTCTTTCTTTTTTAAGGATGTTCCAAACAGTTGATTTGGCCACACCTAATGTTTTGTTATCTCTCTGATAGGTTTGTTTTGTTTTTTCAGCCTAATGATGGCTTGCTTCACTGATAGTGACAGCTCTTGGGATCTCATATTGAGAGTTGACAGCAACAGATTCCAAATGCAAATAGCACACTTGAAATAAACTCTGGACCTTTTATCTGCTCCTTGTAAATGAGATAATGAGGGAATAACACACACCTGGCCATGGAACAGCTGAGCATTACTTTTGGTCCCTTGATAAGTGGGAGGCACATATACAAACTGTTGTAATTCCTACACCGTTCACTTGATTTGGATGTAAATACCCACAAATTAAAGCTGAAAGTCTGCAGTTAAAGCACATCTTGTTCATTTCATTTCAAATCCATTGTGGTGGTGTATAGAGCCAAAAAGATTAGAACTGTGTCGATGTCCCAATATTTATAGATCTGACTGTAAATGCCACAAAAATGAAATGTCTATACAGCCAGTCTCACTGCATCACTAAAGAAACCTTTCAGGTGGGTACAATAGATAACCAGGGTCTATGGGGAGCATGAGTAAATGCTTTTGGAGGATTGCACACAAGGTTAACCTATCATTGGTTGATTATACAGATATCTAGTTGCTGTTTAGGGAAGGGCAATTTGGAAGAGGCCAGAGCAATAAAGGACCTACAGTAGCACTGAAGTTGCTGTTTAGTAGATAGGAGAGTGTGCTGGATCTTGTGTATTGTTTATTGTATAATATGGACCCCAGCAGCACCCCATTTAAGCATGTTCAGGTGAGTGCAACCACCCCCCCCATGTTTCATATACAGTAACTTTTATGTTGAAGAGCTGGATTAGACTTTTTCTATATTTTTAGTGGGCAATTGCATATTTGTATTTGTTAATGGTTTTCTCTCTCTCTCTTTTTTTTTTTTTTTGAGACATTTCAGTGTTTTTTTGTGTTTTGAGTGTTTCTTTAAAAACTATCTGTCTGTCTGTCTATCTGTCTATCTATCTATCAAGCATCATACACCAAAAACTTTTAATAGGCAGCGTAAGCGCCACCAATAGGCCTGGGGGCAAGTGACTTCTCTGCCTGATGGGAAATCTTTCCCTGCTGATAACACTTATAGTTGTATGCAATTTATTATTATTTAGCTACATTAGCCCCAATGATGTCATTTTAAAGCGTGCATATTCATTTTATTATAATAATAACAAATTGCAAACTCTAAGGACAACTGAGTATCCTGTATTCTTTTTATGCATTTAATTTTCTATGACCTCTGCTACACAATGCTATTCTTCACTTATACAGAATTGCAGGCTACACACATTCTTTCTTAACACAAGACAATCGAAGTAAAATATTAATCTCAATAATCTACAACCTGTCTTCTAAATGAATCTTTTGTACCACACTTACATTCCATACAGTATTTAATTATTAATTCTGGAAGAAAACTGCACAGTATAATGGCTGCAAAGGATTTAAAAATATATAAATTCGGTAATAAAATGTGATGCTGTAAGTTTTCATTAGTGTAACTGTGTATAGGAGATTCAGATGCAATGAAGATATTTCTTTGTTTTCATTGTGCAGCTAATTTACAACTATTGCCTAACGTTCTTGGTATTAATAATCTATTACAGGAAGCATAACAAGAGATTTATACTATGAAAATGTTTTAAATGGATCAAAGTCCTTGGGTTTGAACATGTATGTGATTCATGTCAGTTGTTTTTTTTTGTAATCACCTGCACACATACCCCATAGAGTGAAAAAAGACACAATCAAGACACAAAAAAAGACACAAAGAGTTAGAATGAGACATAAAGCTGCAGATTGTCACTACAAATGGAATATATCTGATCATTTGTTTATGTTTCTGTAACAAAGAGGTTCCTGCAGTTTGTGAGCAGAGAAGCCACAGGAAGTGGCTAGTCTGGCCTTGGTGGATTCATGTGAATCTGACGGTCAGTCATAGTGAATTTAGATGCTATCGAATGGAAGTAGCAAAGGACACAAAGCAGGAAAAGATTGGAGGAAGCTGGAGGAGAGCTAACACCTACTGTCTGTATGTGCTTTGTATATTTGGGATTTATATTGAGATATGCTGAGTACCCTGAATTATTCTACTGCAAATAGTATCACTTTTTACCCGATCAAATAGTGATTACTATGTTAAATGAATATGAACTGGGTACATTGCTCCATTAAGGCAAGTATAGCATTGGGACTAAGAGCAAACCACTATGTTGGTTTAGATTTCAAGCACAGTATCTATCTAAAATCTCTTGGAGGATTGCTCACAAGGTTACACTATAATTGACTGGTTACACCAGGGGTTGTCAACCTTTTAATACCTACCACCCACTTTTGTATCTTTGTTGATAGTAAAATTTGCTTATCGCCCACCAGTGACGCAGTAACAAATTTTATAGCGATTTTTATTTTATTTAGTTTTTTTTTAGAAAGGAGGTTTTTTTTTTAAAAACAAATATGTACTTAAATGTATCTTTTTTTTATTCTCTATTCTTTTTTTTTCTATGTGTGTCTGTGAGGTGCTGTGTGTGTTAAGGGTGCTGTTTGTGTTTGTGTAAAAGGTGCACTGTGTGTAAGGGGGCAGTGTGTGATGGGTGCACTGTGTGTGTGAAGGGTGCTGTATGTCAGGGAGGGGTGAAGGGTGTAGTGTGTGTGAAGGGTGCTGTGCGTGGGTGGTGCTTTATGTGTGTGAAGGGTGCAGTGTGTGTGAGAGGTGCTGTGTCTGTGTGAAGGGTGCTGTGCATGCGTGAAGGGACACTGCGTGTGAAGGGGCAGTGCATGCGTGAAGGAGCAGTGTGTGTGAGGGCTGGAGTGTGTGTGAGGGCGCAGTCTGTGTATGTGTGAGGGGGCAGTGTGTGTATGAAGGGCAGTGTGTTTGAGGGGGCAGTCAATGTGTGTGTTTGTGAGGGGTGTAGTGTGTGAGGGGTGTAGTGGTGTTTGTGTGTGAAGGGTGCATAGGGTCTATGCTGTGTGTAGGTGGGTGAGATGTGAAAATCTATCTTAATGTCTCCCCCTCCCTATTCTTACCTTTTACCAGGGAGGGGGGACATAATGCTGCAAGCCCTGGTGGTCCGGTGGTTGCGTGTTCATTTTAGCCTGCAACTCCACCGGCTGTAGGCTGACTCTCTTGTACTCCTGCAAGCACAGCACTGTGTCGGAGCATAGCCATAGTAACGCGCCTCCCTCTCCTGGAACCAAGTGCCAGTGGGCCGGTGAGAGAAATCTTTGATCTCCTCACAAGCCCAAGAGGGCTTACAGCAAGACTGGCTCGGCATGGGCTGGCAGGGAAGATAAAATGATCTCGCCAGCTGGACTTGGTCCACGGCTATTGAGGCCCACTGGGTGTTTTCAGCAGAACCCACCACTGCCCACCTGATACACAGATATATAATCTCTCTCTCTCTCTCTCTCTATCTCTCTATCTATCTATAAACAGTATTGGTCTACATGAAACAAAATGCCATTAAGATGACATGAGATTTTTTTGATATATGACTGTATCTACAAATGCAACCACAATGTTTAAAATAATATGTACGCGTCTATTAATATCAATTAAACTGTTCTCTTAAACCATTTAGTAAGTGCATGGATACTGGAACCAAGCTATGCCGGTTTATTTTTTCAACAAATGATAAACTTATTTTTCAGTAAAATAATTCAGATTTTCAGTGAAATGCTATAATTTGAATACAATTCATAATTGGTTTCAACTTTGATTTAAAAACCTAAAACAGAAAAAAAGCATATTGTTAGAAATAAACTGTAAAAGATTTGTGAGATATACTAGTCTAACTCACTGTTAAAAATCTAGGATGACTTGACAGCGACAGCACAGTTGATTTCCTGGTGTAAAACATGCAAGCTTGTGGCAAAATTAGATTTGCCTTTTTAAAGTGTTGCTCGTAAACCTCTTCAAATCCAAACCACCAAGCTCAAGTTCATTTTTCCTCATTAGTTTATCCTAGTGAGATTGTTTCACTGTACTTGCAAAACTTTAAAGTTAATCTTGCCAAAAGATTACTGAGTGTCCTAGATATGCCGAACATTCTAGCTGCAGCATTGTATCTAGGATACCTGTCAGTTTCTAGAATGCTCAATGTTATTTCAGTGAGATTATATCACAATGAATTTGCAAGTACTGTAAAACAATGTAAATCGGTGAAAATAAAGTTGCATGTGCAGTTACAGTTATGAATATGGGCTATCAATGCTGGCAATGACTTTGATTCATATAACTCTAACTCTTTTCAAATGTCAATAATTTTACAAAGCAATGAATTAATAAATGAAAAAGTTACTTATGGACAAAATAAGAAAAACAAAGGAATAAGAATGAGAACATTAATCCGATAATGGATTATGTATATGAACATGTTGAAAATAAAATACATTATTTATCGCTAAATATATCTCTCATTACTTCTTTTCTTTGGTGTTTCAATCAATATTCCAAACATAATATATTAGCATTTATCTGGTCAGGTAAAGGTCATGATTGTATATTAAACTTTCGCCTAACGTTTTCCTCCCATATCGACCACTCATTTTTTAAAACATTAACAGGATACGATGGAGGTCTAAATACCAATTTGCGTCTCTTGTTTTCAAATAAGGAATGTAAAACTTCATGAATTATTAGTATAGTTACATATTTTCAATAGTGAGGAATTGCTGATGTTGAGATCAATAGATGACATGAACCAATATTTTTACTTTTGGACAGGTCATTAGTGAGTTTCTTAAACAAACAACGTTTGGGTGTTAAGATTGCAATGGAATCAGTGATGGTATTAATCAGGTCATAAATATATTTCCAATATGGTATAAGCCATGATACAGTGATGCCGCCAATCCCGTGTGTTCCCTATTAAGGTTAATAAGTATGTAGGGTTTAAAAAAATACCCCTATCTATCTCTTAGAGAAGCAAGCAAGGTGAATTGTAAGTGTAGGACCCAGCTTAGAAGTTATGGCCCTTGCTGCTGCCCAGGAATAGTGGGAGTTTGAGGGCAGGACTTATGTTTGTGTATTTGTATTTACTTTTGTACTGGGGTGGACTGACCACTTGGGCACATCAGTCATTGACCGAGGGCCGTGGCAGTCAGGGGCCCAGATCCATTGACAGGGCGTTGGATCTCCATCTGGCCCAGCATTCTTT